GAAGAGGAGCAGAAGAAATTTCACTGGGGCCAAATGTCTAAATGGGTCAAACCAATGACTATATTCCATTTTTAAGAGGTCTGGAGTTGTTTAAATGAAACGATGACTCACCTGCAGTGGGGCTGGCAGTACATTTAGACATGAAAACATCTCCGTGTTGTTGCTGGTCACTCTGGGACGGTGATAAACCTAAGTTATTTTTCGTTGGGGTGATAAAAACAAACGGAATGGCTAATTGGCTTTAATTAGGGCCACGTGCGTGCCTCTGTCTTTCAGAATGTGCGCCGCGTTCATGCTAGCTTTTTCTTAGAGGGTCACGAGCTACACCCAACTAAATAAGCTATAGGTAACGACCTGTATGCGGTGTATTCCTTTAAGGCTGAGGTGAGATGTTCATTTTCCCAAGAGGCCACATGAGAAGCGATTTGGCTTATAAGATTATACAAAGATGAAATTAAGCAGATTTGACTTATTGTTGTGAACCTCCGCAGCAGTCCCAGTTTCTCATGTGGCCCTGAAAAAATTAATTGTCCACTCCTGCTTTAAAACATCGTAATTAGTAATGATCAAAATTAGAACATGTTCTTATTTCAGCTTCATGCCTCCAGTTTAAATATGTGTTTTTATCAAACTTTCTTCCACAACATGTTTTTTGAAAGCTTACAGCACATTGCTGTGCGCTAATCAGCTGCTATTAATAATCTCAAATTAACGGTTTGACATTTAGCGGACTCTGTGTGACTCAGATGTGGCAAAATTAAGATCAGATTATCTCCTTCTGTCTCTCTAATCAAAGGTCACTTCTGTGTCCAAAACATGACTCTACCCTTTTTATAATGTGACTAATGTGCGGCTTCATCATCCGCCTCTTAAACTAAGGAATCAAATTAGAGGTGAAGGCAAATCACACAGTGTGCATGAAAGACAAAGAAGACAGCAAACAGCTTTTCAGAATAAATTCTTATTATCAGCAATAATATACTGCAGCCTAATCGGTTTCTGCAGCATAT